AAGCAAAACCTTTCCTAGAAATGACAAAATGTGAGTTTACAAAATCTTGCAAAAATTACAAACAAAAAAATAGCACAGGCTTAGCTAAAAACTATCTAAGTATGAAAGAAAATTGCATGAAATTCAGTTTAAAATATGGTTAAAGATATCAACTTAATAACTAAAAGAATAATAAATTATTTGACAAAGGAATAATAGTTAAGGGAATCAAAGCCTAAAACCAACCAAAGGTGGTGTAACGTTAGCTCACACATGACTCAAGGTGAGCTACTCAAAAATGTTGTCCCCAAAGAGTCACAACAACACATCCTCTGACTCACGTGTCTTCAGCGGCACCATTGCCATGCCATTTTCCCAATCTGACGTTCTCCTTCTGTTCTTCCTCACCATTCCCTTTCCTCCCACTGAGTGTGTTAGAAAATAAACAGCAAATTTCTTTCTCTCCACAGTCCAAGGTCTCTGAGCAACTACAGCCTCTGACAGGACGTCACCTTGTGCAGTCAGCAGCTTTAATCTGCACTTCCAGCTTGTCTGCTGGTGATGAGACACCGGTGATGTGTCCAGCAGCGTCTGTGTTTGCTGAGACCTCTGTTTTTGCTATCAGGAGGCAGCTGTGGAGATTCTGTGCACTGGAAACCGAAGGGTTTGTGAAAGCGGCACCGGCACACACTCCCAGTAACACACAATGTCACAGACTGTGGTGCACATGCACTCAGGGACACACATAAACTGTGCAGTTAGGGAGAGAGGAAAGTCCAAAGGAAACGCTGAGTGAAGCTCTGGGCACACTGCCTGAATGCAGGGGTCTGGCTGCAGCAAGGGTTGCCCAGAATAAATGTTAGCCTAGATGTTAGCCAAGAAATATCTTAACCATTAGACAATGTATACAAACACATAACAATGATTAGCCAAATTAACATAGCTAAAACCTATTAAACGAAGGTGTAAATAACCTGTATACTTAATAAAATAGAGCAAGTGTATTATAAAAACACACAGCTAATGAAACAAACCAAAAAATAACAAGCCAAGAAACAAGCCTTAGCCAAGAAAAGCTAACACCCAGATACAGTGGTGTAAATGTAGCAATAAGATAAAGAAAAACATTGACAAACTATAATGAAAATCATATCATTAGCATCATAGCACAACCAGCAAGGCATATTTTGGCTAAAATGCAGAATCTGCAAGACTATGTTTTTTTCTTTTTTCTTAATACCTTACATTATGATTTGAGAAATTATACTACAAAGCTAACAGTATGTCTATAGGTTAGCCTAACTAAAACAAAAAGGAGAAATTAAACAAAACAGTAAGTGAAACAGAACAGGTGATGCAAATGAGTCTATGACGGCTGCATATGAAGATTGCCAAGATATAACTGAAAATACCCAAAGATAACTAAATTAAAGAGCTCTAAATAAAGTTGAGAGAAGTGAGGGACGTTTACGCAGAAATAAAATAGAAAAGACACTGACCCTCAAAGATGGAAGGTTTAAAAAACACAGTCACTCACACACACACATTTTCACTTCTTCTGCTGGTTTGCCTTACCATCCCAGGAGGTCTTACGACTTGGAGTACTGAAGGGGAAAGGAGTTCCCAGTCCAGAGATGTCCAAGTTCTGAATCAGGACACCAAGTCGGTTCATGATCCGGTAGGACGCCTCACCACCTTCCCTCAGAAACTCATGCAGAGACATGAGAGCTGGCTGCTGGTCTCTCACACACTCAAACTTAGAATCCAGAGAAGGTGACACCACAGTGCATCTACAGACCCCTGCTGCAAACTAGGAACAGAGACTCTGCTCCCAAATGTAGGATTTGGCTCCCAAACAGGTCCTGAGAGACAAGCTGCGTGGAACCAGGACAATGGCAAAACCAGCAGCACCTAAGGAGCTGAGTCACTCTCTGCACGATCCCTGGAACTGATGCTCTTCACACCGGTGGTGAGAATGATCGCATTCTGCTCTGCACAATCACAAACTCACACGGCTGCAGTGGCAAACCTTCAGCCTTGGTGCAACTGTAAACAACTCAAACTGCAGCACAGGTTTCAGAGGAAGGATGAAAAAGAGTAGTGGGGGGGTGGGGTGAGGGGGGGGGGGGTGAGCAGGGTGGTAGAGAGCAGAAGCACAGGGCAGTTGGTGAAGCACAAATCCCCTTCTGCTGCTCAGGCTAATTATATTCCTCCACTCCGCAACTAATCTTCCTTTACTTCCCCTCTCTTAGCCGCTTCAAAATTCCCAGAAAATAACAAAGTGTTAGGAGCCATAAATGTGGACAGTAATTGAGCCAAAGAAAGAGAATATGGAAGGTTGCATTTAGGGTGAAGAATGTTTGTTTAGAATGTCTATTTAGAAACCACAGTCCTTATCAGAAGCAGTCATCCTGGCTGGGGCTAAGACTTGGTCTGGATGTGGATAATGTTAAAATAAAGGTCTGTGTTTTAGGGCAACAAGTGAACTTTCTTGGGTGGAGTTAAAGAAACAATAAATATACTTGGGGTATTCGAAAGATTGAGTTGTAGAAAGGCTACTGCAACTCAACGATTTTCCTAAACAGAGAGGGCATCACCGTCCAATACTACCTACACAGACGTATACAGAGAATGGATATAGTTGGTGCAGGTTTCCATGACATTTAATATCAAGTAGTGGATTTAATATACTGTTACAGTATTTTATGTAAATAAAGCCACGTTGTGTATACGTCAGATTGGATAGATATATTCAACTAATGTTCTGGAATGCATGACATGAACTTAAAAGCATATAAGACAAGTGGCAGACTGGTTGGAAATAATACTTTGTTGAATGCTCTATCAAAAAGCAAGGGCTCCTTTATTAGGAAATATACAGCCTGGCTTATTCCATTGACGATGCAGATTCATCCTGCCTGCACCATACACCCCTAATCTCTGCAACAGTGATGAAGAATAAGCTGCACACACTCGCTAAGACATGAGGACAGTAGTGAGACCTGCTATGATGTGGTTCAGTGTCTCTGTCTGTAGACATAAGTCAGAGTTGGAGGAGGAAGAGATGATAATGCTGAGATTTTCCCTGGGAGCGACCAGGATGGACAGAAATAGAAATGATCAGATCAGGGGGACAGTTAAAGTGGAGCAGTTTGGAGACGAAGCTAGAGAGGAGAGGTGGTGGACAAACACCGGACAAAGGATGTCGGAGATGGAGTTGCCAGGCGATAAGAGAAGGTTTTAGTGAAAGAGAACATGGAGATGGTTGGTGTCAAAGCAGAGGAGGCGGAAGATGATCCGTGGGAGATGATCTGCTGCAGCGACCTCTAAAGGTAACAGTTCATTGGACACCTTGGCCTTGAATTATGAACATATCTGTTCCTGTTTTAGAGGCAAATGATAGATGTTTAAATCTCTTCATTGTAACACGAGCAGCACAGATAAGGACAAGAATCACTTCTGCTTTGTCTAATGAACATCTTTTAGTGAGAAAAAGACTTCAGAGTTCTTCATGTTTTAACTGATTTTTAAAGCTAAAAAGAAACTGGGTTCTTAGACAAAACACTGGGAATCATTTTGAGTCCCTTTGTCTCCCTGAGTATTTTTCTCTCATTCCAGTCTCTGCAATCATCTGTGAATTCATCTCAGAGCCAGTTCCAGCTCTCATCCTTCTGTCACAGTACATCATCTTCACACTGTGCAGCACGATGCTACCAAAGGCTGTAAATGTGGAACAACTGAGTTACATTTTATGTCTGCACATTTACAAAGTTAAGATGGTGAATTTAAACCATTACCACTGTCTTAGCATTAGCATTTTCAGTCTCTCAGCTTGGATATAACCATGTCTTATTACCATCTGCCCACCCACACTAGTACACACACTGACACACATCTTTTTTAACATCACTCACTCAAGTAGAAATGCACAATATCCATATACGTCCTCTGTCTGCATAGGTTGACTATATACGAAGCGACCTAAAAATAAACGACAAACCTACCACATTTAGTTTTAACATCACCCACATCAAGGCTTTCAAGGGTGGATATAAATTTCTGTGGTTTGTTTTGAACATGAACCACAACTTTGAGGATCAACACAGTATAAACAAATTGGTGCACCATTATTAGAGCTGTAGGTTCTTAGAGAGCCAACAGCGCTTAGTCTCACATCCAGCTGTTTGTGTTAGACTGTGGACAGGGGTGAGACCCAAATTAAGCATTTTCACGTTCCTATTTGTACACACGAAATTCTAAATACTGAAAAATATATTCAAACATACTCAAAACTAGCACATATTACCCGTATGAAAAGGCTGCCAAAAAATGTGAAATCAATCACAAACCCACACAAAAGAGTGAACTGTGCTCAAAGTATGTGTGCCAGATTCTGGACTCTGGTCCATAATTTATAATTCATCACTGGTTGAATCCAATTTTGTTATAAAGATGTTGTGTATTCATGCAGTACATCATAAATGTGTTCTGCAGCTCGTGGATAAAAACACCACATTTACATGACCAACTGAAGATGATCGTTCATGATGTAATGCGTGTTACAAAGGTGTGGCAACCTAATATTTAGGTCACTCTTTCTTCAGAGTGAAAAAACAGGCCAGTGACATAGTGAACCACATTATGATTTGACCTGACGACAACCTCTGCTTTTGCATAATGCTATGAAATTGTTGTGTTCGGTGTCAGCTCTAAATGTCAAATACATACATGGTAAAACACAACTGCCTTCCCACTACAACGAATGGTTTTTGTGCTGGTTTACAGCACTTTGTTGTCATGTCATATTTTCTTATTAAGGATAAAATGTCATGGGTCAATATCACATTTCTAACTGCCAGCTCCAGCAGATCCAGTCACAGAAAGAGAAAACACCTGAGGCACAGACAGCAGCACATCTATCCTGCGGAAACCAAGCTTCGTCGCTCACTGACATACAACCACTGCCACCACTACAGTATATCAGAATGTTATGTGCATGGGTGTGTTTTCTCCTCACCCACCTATGCTTTGGGTGACAGTCCTCAGCCTCTCCAATAGCTCCCCCAGGGCCATCTCCTCCGTCTTCATCCACAGGATCATCCTCCAAAGGGACAGCGGAAGACCAGCTGTCCAGCCGACAGACACTTTCACAGAAAGAAGAGACAGCTTGCCTGATTTTCCCTTAACAGGTCCTTAAAGAGGCGACGATGCTGCGAGAGAGAGAGGGAGGAAGAGAGAGAGGCGTCTTTGACAAGCCAAGCTGAGCAGAAGGACGGAAGGACAACAGAACCAGGACGCTTCGGCCTGCCTTGGTACTGTTTGACACATGAACCTAGGAACTACCGGAGGTGTGTACGATTTGGAAGAGCTGAGATGCTTGGTGGATGCCGACGCTCCTCCAGGATGGAGAGGATGCAGCACAGACTTGATGAGGGAGTGATGCTGAGGCTGCTAGCGCTCTGATAGCTCAGCTGCAGTGACGTAGCCTCCTCCTCGCAGGGATGCTGGAGCGAGCAGGGAGCCAAGCAGTGGAGATGAGCTGGACATGAAGCAGGAGGAGGCGGCGTTCACACAAGCATGCTTCAGCATCAGCACGCATGATGGTGCGGATATTGCAAAAGAAAGAAGGGGGAGGGGGAGGGGAAACGATGGTTATTGGTTTAAAAACAGAGGAACATCTGAGGGAATGGTGACATCCAGTGGGAGACAAGGGCACAGCAGCTGTGTCATTAAACATGCATGTGAAAGTACATGAATGCATTTTTTTTTAATGATTAGGCATTAAAACCTGATCCTATTATTCACATGATCTAATCTGATAGAACAACAACAAAATCAGCATTAGTTTGAAAAACGTCCATAAATAAATAATTCATGAATGCAGCAGCTTACTTACATGTTAAATGCAGGAGACCACACTCAGCTCTGTCCACAAACAGGGAGAAACTGAAGCACCCCGAACACACAGCTGATGTCAATCTCCTTCTGGATGTTTCTTTAATGGCAGACGTCATGTTATCACCTGGTGCTGCGACCTGGTGGTGGCTGTGGAGATAGAGCAGCGGAAGGTCGTGGGTCCGTGACAACAACTTGTTGTTGAGTCGAGATAAACTTTTTTCGTCTCTTGTTAATGACGTTTACAACAAAGACTAAGCTAATGACGATGACAAAAATATGCAGTCATACGTTGTATCTAGTAAACCAGGCCGTGTATTAAAACAACAAAACAAAACAGGAAATACACATTTTTACCAGATGTTGATATATACGGAGTGAAAAAAAAAAGTTGTTTTAAAACAACTGATATTAGACATTCAAAGACGCTATGCTATAGCGAAGTTGTTTTTGGTGTAATTGTTGTAAAACATAAACGGCTACGGTCGTCTAGGTTACATTAAATGATAGAAGTTTAGAACTATTTTAAAACGGATTCTTTGGGCTTCCAGAGGTGGTTCACACGATTTTCATTTGAAGTTAATGACATACTTTTCCCGGGCGTAAACTACAGTAGTTAGTCCTTAGTACATTTTGTAAGAACGCTTGCCTTTACAGAGAGCGCTGGTTTGGGTGGGTTTTCTCCGGTTTCCTTCCACTGTCCACTTACATGTTCCTACCGGGGAAATTGAATTTACAATTGGTGGAAATGGTTGTTTGTTTGTATATACGACCATCTTAACAAGTATAAATTGTCCAGGTTGGACCCCACTGTTTCCCGCCCACCGCTGGGATTGGCTCTAGTGCCACCCAGCGACCATGTGAAGGAATGTGCGGTATACAATGGTTAAATGGCCGTTATGTTTCACACTCTTGAGTGTTGCATGTATAAATGCTGTGATATTATCCAAGAACATTTATAATAACCTTAAAAATTTTAAAAGTAACTCAGGCTTATAGGTAAATTTGGTAAACAAATCACACAACAACCACAAAAAAGCAACCTAAAACAAACAAGCTAATATTTTGCAGCTTGGAATTGGTTAAAAGGAGCAATGATTTGGACAAGTGCTAAGAGGGTGGGTACTCTAGACAAGCTGTGAAGCAGCAAACAGCTGAATCTTTGCACCCTTTATTTATTACAAGCAGAATGACAATACAGTGGTTTGTCCTCATTTGCTACAGACAGGCTGGAAAATAGTCAAACAGTGAACGTTTTAAAACTAACACATCCCTTTCGCAAAAGTTATTTCCCACAAGCAGTTTTAGTTGTAGAAACAGTGTTGTAGTGGAGGTACCTTGTGAGCTGTTGCTTCCAAACCTTTACTATTCTCATGAGTGATGGAGGATGAGCTCCCGCTGTTGTGCTGATGGACTTAGAAAAGCAGTTCTGACATTCTGATCAGCAGTTACATGGCTGGTGTGATTAGAGCCCATCACAAAGACAGAGTCTGACACAGTTCCTTCCAACAAGTCAAGTTATTTGGTCACTTTTTCACCTCTGGTCGATGACAATCTTCTTTAAAAAATAACCTGCGAAAAATAGTGAATATTTATAAACGGAGTGCGCTGACAATAGACCTTGTTTCATGGGGAAATCAGATCTCATGTTGAGCAAAGTGCAGTGTGTAGACCTATAGGTAAATCTCTAATAAATTATATCATGTATCTCATTTTGGTAACAACAAAAGTAAATATAACTTCTAACAGCATTAAAATATAGTTACAATATTCTCTGTGGAGTACAAAAGTAGTATTTCCTTTTTTTACCACAAACATGACTGAAATATGTACTTTAAACTAGGACACCAACAGACATGGTGATATATGGATACATATCACACTTTGTCCTAGTATTTTGGAAAGAACAGCATGGGTGTTGAACCATGCTTTCATCGGCTCAAAATACTACTCCAAATGTCCTGCATCATGCACCAATTCCTCAAACTGTGGGTTTTGTTCTTTGGGTGCATTTATACACTTGTAGTTCACTTGGGTCTGATCAAAACCGTGGATATATTGCCTTTTATCAGATCTCACTTGTATGATCTCCAAGTCTGCATGAGGCAGGTGAGCATTTGAGACCTTTCTTCTAAGAGGTCTCAGTGGGTTTGCTCGGCTTGTAAAAAGTGTGCATAACATGCCCACTATGAACAAAGCAACTGCAAAACAAAATCAATGAAATTCTTAAATTACAAGTTTGTTGCAACAGGAACCACTGCTACATAATCGTGTGTAATCATGTAGTCACATACCTGTTGTTTTTTTTTCATTTTAAAATCAGACTGGAGCCGCACATGTCCAAACCAGATACCCGAGCAACTCACAATGGTGTCTTGCAAGAAACTGACCCTTACAAGACAAGGAACTGGCTTGTGCACAATGTTGCATTACACTTGCAATTATGTTTTGACTGTATTAAATACAAAAAGGTCCAAAAGTCTAGGAAAAGTACATCTTGGTCTTTGTTGGACAAAATGTCCTGTTTTTCCTTCTGACAGTACCGGATGATCTCTAACCAAAGTACAGTGACATGGGAAGCTGAGGTCAGGATGTTGAGCCGCAAACACTACTGGATGTTTGAGGACTATAAGTTGTGAGAAACCTCAAACTAAACTGAAAGTCATTGATGAAAAAGTTGTTAAATCTGTACATGTTGGCAGATAATGGTGATGTGTAGGAAAATAAACTGTAGAAATGTACAAAAATGTCTCAAAGTCTGACATTCAGGACTTGCAGAGTCAGTTGCTCGCCTTGTAATGCAACACATATGCTTTGGACACAGAGGACATCAGGTGTCAGAGACATGTGGAGAGGAGGTTCCTCCACAATGAACTACAATCTCCAGCTGAAGGACGTGACAGACTAATCAGTTCTACATTCTCACCGATTTGATTGTGACATCGCTGATTCAAGTCTCACTCCTACGTACCACAGACCACAGGATACTACAGCCCTCTGACTGGGCTACACATACAGTACAACAGAGGTCTTTCATCCACAGAAACAGTGACAGCCATCAATACATTTTGATAATAAATTTCGCAGGAAAAAAAAGAGCGACCAATGAAACACAAGGAAATATCCTCCGTCATACAACTATATATATTAAATTCTTTATAACATAAATTATGGCAGCAAACACAAGCACAGCAGCAGGTCAATGCCGACGTCGTTAAAAAAAACACTACTGCTGCTGTTACTATACATGGCCACGGGGAGGCATGGGTGAGGAAACTGCTCACTCATAGGAAAAAGAAAAAAGGTGAAAACAAACAAACAAACCCAAACCATAAAGTCAGTGCGTAGACCATATATGAGAAAGGCACCAATGATGATCTTGGAAACCTCAGAAGTTACACATAATGGTGGTTTTGGAGAAAAGTTAACTGGTTTTGAGTCTGTTCACTTAAATATTACATTCACATTTGTAAATGAAAAGTTAAAATAGAAATTAAAGATAATAAAAATAGATAATAAAGCCCCAAGACAGATGGTTGAACATTGGGGGGATAAACAGAAGCACTGCACAATACCAGGTCAAAGGCTGAAATTCAGCCCTAAACCAGTCCATGACCTTAGCTACGTTTTAGTGTAGATTCCAGACATGAAGAATTTCTTATGATCTAAAAAATGATGAAACCTCAACATAAATTTTACTTCTGGGTTCTTGAATAATAAAAAAAACCCTTTTGCCTTTTTTGGAATGTAATGTTTTGTTGTTAATAATACTATTACTGAGTATTTGATACATGTTTGAGCCCATAAGGCAACAAAGAATACTCAAGAGGTGGAACTTTCTGTCTTCTTATGAAGTCTCACTTTACAGCAATGCTCTCTCTGTCCATTTTTCATATATGGTCTATGATTTAATGAGGATTAATGTGGGACAAAGGAGAGCGATGTAGAGAAAACCATGCAGCAGAGCTCGGCTGGTGTCAGGAAAATTAGACAATGTAAGTAACATTCATGAGAATTTAATAAATATCCCCTAAATATCCATTTATTTTGACAAGTGTATTTAAAATAACCTAGTTATATAATATAATCTACTGAAAATCTATGAATTAAGGCAGGTTGGTTAGTATACTGCACGCCCCTCTTCAGTTCTCCCTCATATCTCTCCTCCAGCAGATGGGTGTATGTTAGTGTGTGTGTGTGTGTGTGTCTATGTTTGTGTGTAAGGCTTAGAAAAATACACCAGCACTCCTTTTAAATATACATTTCTCCTTTGGCGCCTAGTCTGCTTCTGCTGCTGCTGCTGTGTGGTTACCTGTAAGGCAAAGGTGTGTTCACATACAAACATATAAGATCAGGCAAATTCATGCACACACTCGCGCACATGCACACACTCGCACACCTAAAGGGTTGAGCTTGACGGCTTCCCTTTTTCTTGGCCAGACCACAGACTGTACATAAATATCCTCAAACAAAAAAGAAAAAAGGACAGACATGGAGGAACAGGCAAAAATGAGGGGAAAAAAAGGAAGGACGAGACTGTTGACATGCTGACACTTCCATGTGCATAAATATTGCACCTTCACACGTGATTCCTCTTTTGTCCTTAGACTTTATCCAAGTGAGAGTTTTTAGCAGAGACAGACACGAGGACTGAAACAGAAAGATGGGAGTAGGGCAACAGAGCCTATAAAGGGTTGACCGCTCCGGTGTATCCAAGTTAATGCACATGGTGAACTTAGCATCTCTATGTTTCTATTGGACCAAAACTTGTTGGTACTTTCGTCTACGGATTCTCGATCCCTAAAAATGCAGATCTTGGTCGTGTGACGTTCTACATGCTCAGTGTTTTAACCAATTAGAATCACAAGTGTCACAGTTTGCACCTGTGTCTCACACAGAGGTCTCCGGCCCCGGAGCGTAGTATGCGAATCCTGCCCCTGAGAGACGGAGCATGTAAGGGCTGAGGGGGCACAAATCTGACCCTCCCCCTTCTGCCAAGTGGGCCAGCAGTTTCTGGGGCATGTGATCAGACCTGTGGAGCGGCAAGGCCTCTGCAGCTCCGAGGTGGAGGTGAGAGGAGTCTACGCTTGTGCCCTTGCAGGAGCGACAAGAGTGTGAAGTCATGGCCACACCTTGCTGTGAAAGCTTCTCATGAGCCTATAGTGAAAAAAGAGAGACGAATATTAGAAACAGAAGGGAAAACACAGACGATGAAACAGACAGGTTTTCATCGAAGGACAGCCTGACACACAAGACAAAATAGTGCTCTGAGACAAAATAATTAAAACGTCCATGCCATGAAGGAAAACCAGTCACAAACAATCAGATGACACACAGAAGTTGCAGATGAACAGTAGGAAACCATTTGAAAACACCACCAGTTAGTATCAACATGCCTAGACAAATCAGAGTTGCATTTTTTACCTTTAACACTAGATGTCAATGTTCCCGATGGAAAATAATAGGTTCAAAAGCAACATGATATACAGCTCTGTTTATACGTTAAGGTCAAATAAATTGTAAAATACTAAAGACTGAAAGCTATCTAAGACTTAACTGTAAGATTAAACATTTTTAGCAGTAGTACAGGACCAACGAACAAAGTGTCAGAGACCAACTGTTAGATAAAGTTAGTTCCATCCAACAATCAGTGAAGAAGCACAGCACACTTTTAAACCAAATGATTTAATTCTACTGTGTAATTTATGGAACTTTATTTCTCCACAAAGCCCAGCACAGCCCTGAAGCCTAAACCACAGCATGACAGCATTACCCTCCACACATGCACAGCATCCACAGCAGCTTCTGACAGTGCCCCCTGTTGGGTCTGGCCCACCTGGGTGTGGGTGAGTGGAAGGCGAGGGGGATCTATGGTTTTCTGAGAGGACCAGTGTGGGCTGACATGATGGAGTCATAGGTTTTAGGTGCATTTTCTCCAACGACTCTTTCAGAGGTCCTACAATGGCTCAGTGGATCCTGCTCATTGGCTCCTCCAGCTGGGGCTGGAGCCACACGGACCGCTGTGGGCAACTCTGCTCTTACCTTCTGCAGATGATGATGAAGAATAAAAGGTGATGATGGTATGAACAACCAAGTCTACACTGTCACAAGGTCAAAAAACAGTTTGTATTGATGTGTCAGTTTAAACAAAAAGCCCTACTGTATCGTAGGGCACAGACGACTACTGACTAATCTGATCATAAAGTCAAAATCAAGTTGCTAATGGAAGAAACACAGCAATCAGTTGTTCTAACAGGTCCCAGTGAGATGCTCTTGGCTTCGTGACAGTTTCATCCTCCAGGACTGACTGCACAGCGATCCTCTGCTCATGATTTCCCTTGCGAGCGCCTATTACCAGATGAGCGGCTTGGTGTAAAAACCTTCTTCGCGGAGTAACATTACTGCCCATTTTATAAAGTAATTATAACTATTGGTTAAATTGATGAAGTATTAGCATAAGCCAATCAGAGGTAAAGAGTGCTTTGGCACACACACGGAAGAAAAAACACTTTCGACTTTTCGACTCCTCCCAAGAGACATGTCAACACATCGACATCGATTGTTTTTTCTGTCAATACTGCCTCGTGAACTTTTGCTGGTTTCAAAGGTAATTCCAATGGCACTTGATAATAAGCTACTTTTTAGCTGATAGCTCTGATTTAATTTAAGGTTTTTTTTCTTCATACAGCA